CGAAAACGTTTCGCGTTCCTTTCGCTGCCGTTCCAATTAACCAAAGTAAACTGTGATTTACACCGGGGGAGAGATCGACTCGTGTAACGAGGGTAACGGTTTTACAAATTGACACAGTTTCGTTGCCTATGGTAAAATCGCACGAAACTTTACAATTCTGTCGAACTAAACCGCTATCATATCATAGAAAGATCAATCTCTAAAGATATCTTTATTTAAACACCCTGCTCTTAAGTGTCTTAAATTTTTTAATAAAATATATTCACCGTAACTCGAAAGCTCAAAGAACATTTTATTTTATACACAAATATCATTTTTTAATGAATTTTTTGCATATATGCAATTTTATTCTCAAGCGATTCCATTTCGAAGCACTTAAAATATTCTTTAGAAATTCTCTTTAAACTTTCAATATACATTCTTAATTTCTTTATTCAATTAGTATCATCAAGATTTCATTGTACTTTAGTAAGGTTGTTTAAAAATAATTCTAGAAGGTACTCGATAACTGAAAAATATTCAACCAAGCATCAAGAGATTTATGACTGATAGGACGTACGTTTCAAGTTCAAAAATAAATTGCGAAGTATAAGGCGACAAAACAAATTGATTCTGACGAGAATTTAGTCACTTAATCAGTCAACTGTATTTGACGAGTATACCCATCACCCTTAAACCCAAAATAATACTAACTTTTTCAACAATGAATTAACTATTCTTTCAAATAAACTTGTAATTCTTCTTTGTTTCGCTTTAATTTTTTATTTTAATACATTTGTTGTCGTGTATACTCGTCGATGGTTGACTATACATACGTCATAAGAGATTTTTAAAACAAACTGCCACAGTTAATTGGTTAAAACAAACATAAAATGGAGTCAAAGTAAACATTCGCAAACTTTTATGAACTAAGCCGAGTCTTACGATGCACGTTATTTTTCTCGAGACAAATTGGAAAATTGGAAAAACCAACACGGCAGAGAGCTTCAGAAATAATAACAGGGCATGTTATCAATTTCGTAAGCAAGGGGAATGCGAAAAGATGTCCGCGGATCGACCTCACGCGCCTCATAAGTAAATTACCAGCTGCCCCGTTGATCCTACTTCGATTAACGCAGTATCAACATCTCGGAAAGCGAAAGGAAATAAGCTCGGAGATCGTTCTTTCTATCAACTCATCGGGATTAATAATAAGAGTGTTTGACGACTGATTTTTCTAGACCTGATCTAGCAATTACCTCGTCGATTGCCGCTTAAGCCTCGATTGCCGTCGTCTTCGAGAGTTCTCGATTGTGCTCTGATGAGAATTCAACGTTTTGATCAATCCTATGCAACAGTGATTGCTACTATTCTCTGAAAAGTTTCATGCAGGTTCCAAGACGATCATAAGAAACACATTTACTTATTGATATTCAAGAGAAAGCATTCAAGTACAAATTCGTGTTTACTTTACGAAGGAAAATATTAAAAGATTTTGTTATCGTTATAATGAAGGGTTTGCTTTGTTTAATATAGTTGGCACATTTTCAGCAGATGGGAATCAAGTTAAAATTTAAATTATTTAATTGGAAAATACAATTAGTATGTGGTATGTGCTATTATTTTCGATAGATTAAATTAATTTACTAGATTTAACTTATTATATTGAAATAACGTATCACTGGTAGTAATAAATATATAGAAATGAAAGAATGAAAGAATAAACACATTATTAGTTATTAATTGTTGATAACAAGAATTATTGAATAAACAGTTCCATTTATCGTGAAGAAAGGTTTATGTTCACATGTTTTCACCGCTATTTAAATAAACAACGATCATCTTCCTGGGAAACAAAGTCACGTGTACCAGAGGCAACTTCGTTGAAACATTTAAGATGCACTCCTTTTGTGCAATAATATATTCAAAATTCGTTGCAGCTTTGAGTGCATTGCGGCCTGGGTACATATCAGTGAAAGAGGAAACAAAAGGAAAATAATGGCACACGTTATACGAAGCTTTCGGCTTTGTGGCACCAGTTTACGACAAAAAGGCCATTTACCGTTCGTGCCGGAGAGCAAAAAATAATACCAGAGGTGTATTTACCAGTGCGCACAACTCTTTAATCATAGATCATGTGGGCAAAAGATATACGTTGATATCCGAACCTGAAAACTTTTCAGGTTTTATCTAAAGGATTAATGAAAAAGGTAACGTCAAACCTCAGTAGTGTGACATTAATTGTTATGTTTATATATTCTATATTACATATTGTTATATTATGAATATTATTATATATTCATTACCCAAGGAAAGATTTCGTTCAAAACTTTTATCAATTCATAGATTAAAAAGCAATTAGCCGGTGTTTTATACATTACAATTAAAAAAGTCTAACGAACTTAATTCGTCATTATTCTACTATTATTTCTATATAAAATGTTAATTCGTCGATGATTAAATCATCGTTTACTTCTTGATTTTATTGGTTCTTATTAAAAGTTCTCAATATAAAATATCTCTAACATATATCTACTTAATTTTCATCTTCCTAAATAAATCTATAAAAATCAGAATATATATATATATTCATATTGGTTCAAATAACGATAAAACGAATTTACGCGTAGTATTTATATCAGTTTCCCCCTCACCGAATTATTTATATTATTTAGAACTTGACAATTATTATGCTAAGTGTCGGATCATGACACACGATGAGACCACGCGTGAGCAACGTATATTTTTTCTGGGTGGAGCTACGGTGAATGCACTTAACTATTCTCAAATACGTATTACGAGGTACGAAATGATCGATCGCCCTTAGACATCTGCGCACTTTAAAGGTACCAGCGAAAAGCAATCTCGGCTCTGAGTAAAAATCGTGACTAGGCCATTCTCGCATCGGCAGGAAATTAATCATAATAATTCGACTACCGGCGGCCGACCGGCAATCATTCTGATCGCGCCTTCGTCGTTCATTATTCAGAGTTGGACGTGTTACAGTCAGTAAACTTGAAATTTGCAGATTCACGGGCCGATAAAATATGACCGGCAATTCGTTCGGAACTAATTGTTGATAAACAAACTCACGAGCGATCGATAGAATATTTTTTCTTCTTCTTTATATTCAGTTCTCTGACAATAAAAAATAATCAGTTCACGTATTCATTGTTATAACGTTTCTTGCGATTGCTTCATTAGCATGAATATGATATATAATATATATAATAATATATATAATATATATAATATAACATAATGTTTCTTTATTGTATGAATGTTATATTAAAGGTAATTATATAACGATAAAAGTTACGAAATCTACTGTTAGATAAACATTAAATTTCATTACTGTGTAATACAATATTGAATGTGAAGCTTGAAAATTAAATGACAAGTCCAACAATTATTTTGCAATTCGTTAATTATAAACACTCAAACTTCTAGATTAAGGAGTTATACAAGACATTTTAACTTTCAACAGTCGAAAGATTCCGTTATACAAAAAACTATGTAACAAATTTTTATTTAAATCTATTACATGTACATTAATATTTTAATTAATATTAAAAGTCCTAACAATATTTTCTTTATATTTAGACAATATTATGTTGTCTCATACATGAGATGAGCATTACTAAAAAATTGTCGACCGTTAAGGGTTGAAGAACGCGTTACGCAAAAGTTCTAATATTTCGTTTCAAGTGGCGCGAAAATATCCAAACAAAGAAGAAAAACAATGAGAAAAGAAGAAAATAATTCGATGCAAGTACGAAAGGATTAATAGTCATGTTGGGGGGTCCCGATGGAGGAAGTTGACCCAGGTGCGACGCGTCTTCCAGCCGAAGGTCGGATATCTCGGTGGATGTAAAGAAAACAGCTTGCAACTTGTCACTTTCCCGTGACTCGTGTATTAAGTTCAGCTAACGCGACAGAGTCGTCATGTTTTTCTACGGGGGTGGTCCGCGCGCGTCAAAGTGTTGAAGTTCTTCCCGTTGTCCGTTCCAAGGGAAAAAAAATTCGCGTCCGGTGTTGCTTGGGCAACAAGCGAACGTAAGTGATGAGCGATAAAATTTTTCACGTTGAAATTGAAATGGACAATTAAATAGTCGGGAAATAACATCCACCTATACCACTATAACTGTATACCAATAATGGACGATAAAACGGTGGACAATTAAGAATTTCCTTTATTGAAAAGAAATGATGGTCATTTATGACCAGGTGGATACGCCAATTAAGGACATGTAACAATTAACACTTTACGACCTTATGTCCACTGTGATTGGACATTAAGCTTATTCAATTATTTAGTTATTCGTTCGTTCGAGAATCCTTTCTAATTTCACCAAATCCTAAATATTATAACTAATATAATAAATTTATTAAAAGAAAGAAAACAGAATATCGTACTTGTGTACGCGATGTTACCTACAAACAGTGAATAAGCAACTTTTCTTTATATATCTTCAATTATTTTGAATATTAATAAGCGACGAAAGTATTTTTAGAATTTGATTATGAAGATATACAATATGTGACATCAAAAACTTGCAGTCCACTGCACTCAAAGATGTCATAATAAAAGGGTATCCAATGGTAACAAAAATATCAGATACCTTTACAAAGAGAAGACTATGTGATAACTTTGCAGAAATATATAAAAACGTTAATTTGATCAAGATTGAAACGTTACAAAAAGTAGACGTCGTGTCTGAGGAATTTTTCGTTATAAAGGGTGAATAAGTAGAAACTTAGCAGGCATCGAATAATAAATAGATAAGCTTCACCGGAGTGTCGTTCCCGTTTTATGCAGCACTACTGCTATCTTAATTTAGGAGAAACATTTATGACATCTGTCCCTTTACACGAACCACTACTTTAAATAACTCCGCCGACCGAGAAAAGGAATTGCATTGATGCGTAAAGTATGATTGATACTAAAGGCAGACACTGAATTTTTATGATCTCGTAACACGGAAACATCGAGATCTATCAGACGCTGTATGTGTACTCACCCGGCGATATCTTGGACCCGCGTCTGCAATAGCGATTTTTCAAAAGGTTCCTCCGGGAGCAGACTGCACAGCAATTGCACCAAGCTATTCGCTACGATTCCGCTACCAGTCGAATTACTGGACACCTCCTGGGCCTGTAGCTGGTCGTCGAGTTTTGTCAGGGACTACAAGCAAAAGTAGTTCATTATTCTTACATTTTATTTCATATACAAAATCATTACAGAAATACACCATATACTGGATATCTTATGACCAGTGACTCAACTGAGGAACGCGAAATTCGATATAAAAAAAGTCCATCAAAGATATAAAGCAATATACATTCAAGTTTAAATACGTTGATACTTCATGTCGACAGTTAACTAAATGCTTAGCGAATGTTCAAGCTAGATTTGTTCGAAAGTAAGGTCTCAAATAAAAAACTTGATTTTCATATTTTCAACTGATCTTTTTTTCATATAGAGTCGCCTATGAATTTAAATACGAATTACGACTTTTCTATATTTATGTACTGACATTTGTCAATTTCGTCGCTAATAACCGCAAGGTGGATGTGAGCTTTAGCGATAAATTAGAATATAAATGTCCTGTAGACAGTGAACATTTGCGTGGTTCCGTCGAAAATCCTACATCGTTTTTTCTGAAAGCTGTCAAACTGATTCTTCCGAAATCCGACACGAATAAACAGCTACCAGTCGGGTGGTCGCATACTTTCAAGCCTAAATATCACTCCGGCGCTGGGGAAGACGAATTCCTGGCATGTTGAGTCATTGATACCAGTCTCCGGAGCTGGACGATCAACGGTGCATGCATACAGGCGACATTTAAAATGCTAAATTAAAGGTAACGAGTCGGAAGGTCCCGATAAGAACTCTGAAGAATATGGCCCCTAAGCGTCCAGACTTTCGATAGGTCCTTCGAGGAACACTTAACCGTTCACGGTTTCTCCGTATTCGTTTAAGTTTTAGGACAAAAATGGCTCCTCGGGACCGTTGGCTCCGACACGAAATTTGTTGCTCGTTTCGCTTGATTTAGCTATTAACGCGAAACTTTTGCTGCTCGACGGATTTTCGACTTGTTTATTCTTACAACGAGACTGAATCAAGAGAACTTTGATTAAGAAAGACAACTTTTATATAACGTGCTGCTTGAGTTTTCTATTTTTGCGAGTACCGTTTATTATAAATTAATGTTTCTATTATTATGCGTTGATGTCTTTGTACCTTCTGTCGATAATAAAAGTAGCAGTAAAAATAAAATATAAAAGATTATACAGAGTGATAAATTATTAAGAAAAATAAATAAGAAGAAATGTAACTTTAAACTCATTTACATGTCAGTAGAAAATAAGTTTCTTTGGAAGTATTTTAGTACACGCATCTGCATCACCAATTTTCGACCCTTTGTATTCCAAATCCCTGAGATTAACCGAGAGAATTTTTCCCTTTCTTTACGAGCGATCAAGTCCGGAATCATTGAATTTGTCTATACCTCCGAAGGAACCATACAAATGCACTAGCACAAAACTGCGCGAAAGGGGCAAAACCGTTAGGGGGACCAGCGGTCTCGAACGATTTACGGGAAACTGTAAATTTGTTTCGCCAGATTTCGGACGAGATTGAAAAGCATTGCACCGTGGACCCTACAGGACAATTGATTCCTCTGTGCAATGGCCCAAATTCTAATTCCTTCTAGATTATATAATAAAAGAAGTCGTGTTCTCTTGAAACATTGACTTTCGACCCTGTGACTGATGCTAATTCGACGTTTCGCGTGAGTGATTCAAACAGACTGAAATTAAACATAAAAATGAATGATAAAAACCATCGATTGAGAATGAAACTATATTTCCCAAATCTATGGAATCTCGAACAACTCTTCCATAAATGAATATTTAAAATATAACGAAGAACCACTTCAACACTTACTTTAAATACTTATGAATTAAGTATCCCTCCGAACTGAGAATCATTAATCTGTTAAAACACATGTCTATTTACTTAAAATGAATTATGCAACCATCAAGTTTACATCCTCGCAAAAAGAACATAATTTCTCAAATACGTTATTCTACAGTTCACCTTTCGATCTTTCGTTTCTAATTACCTATAAAAGAGAACTGTAATTTGCAACAGTTGCATGAATCATTCTGTACGACGAAAAGTTGGTTAAAAAAATCGTTTAAAAACGGGAACCGTGAGGTGGGGGTCTAAAATGAAGTTTCGATCGGGACGGTGTAAACTTGTACAGGTGGAAAAATCTGGTGGCGTGGCTAAAATATGAGAAACAGCCGAATTCTGGAAGCTGCGGGGAGGTCGTCGAAAAAGCGCCGATAAGAGGACGAGACAAAAGATTAGGTCGGGTCCTCGAAACGGAGCTTGATGGAAGCGGCAACAGAAGTACCCACGCACATTCTGCATGGAACACACGCTCCTTTCACCGTATAACCCGATTCCCGTGTGCACGTGTGCGGGTGTCGGCTTGTACATGTGGGTACGCGTGTGTGCGTGTCGTGTGTGTATGTGTGCATGTGCGTGGGTGACGTCACTAAAAGCTCTCTCGCCGCTAATGCATTTGTGGAGGGAGATTCCCGGGGGAGGAACAGGAGAAGGAACGGCGCCAGTGCTGTATCTACGAAGCGTGAAAAATCGATCCTGAAATCATACCGTTGAATTCGCGAACCGATTACGACGGATCATCGAGCGAAACGATTGACTTCGAGAGTATTGCCGACTGTCTGAGCACGTTTTGCACAGCTACCGTGACTACTTTCAGAATTACTTGAGAATCGTTTCGAGAACGATTCGCGCGAGGAAACGGTGTTTTAAAGATATTTTCGCGATAAGACGTGAAAAATGATTTGAGGTATGTAGTTTTAGGTGGATGAGAGAATAAACGTAAGAGGATTAATCGAAAGAAGGAAGGAAATGTTGGTTGAGCGATGATAATGAGGTGCGAGGAAAATGATCATGAGAAAGAGAATTTGTAATTAAAGTAGAACTGATTTTCGTGGAAAAGATGAGCGACATGGTAAGGGAAAATTGATATAGAGTATTTATGAGGAGTTTCATGGGTTTTAATTGATTATATCTGTTTAATCGATTCAAACGAATATTTTATGATAATATGACAAATCGTATTATCTAAATAGTAAAGTAAATACTCTTGAATTTTACCAGGTATTATTGAAATATAGATGTTAACTAGTGAATTTTTGATTAGAGAAATATCCCGCTTTAGGGAACAGAGATAATATCGTGAAAAAGGCTAAAAGTATTTATATTTAAAACTAATTGTTTTAATAATATTTTGATACTATTGTGGATCGTTGGTTCTACAAGCTTTTTAATTGCGAAAAAAGAAGTCATTTCTGAGATGATGAGATTTAATTAGAAATTATTGAAAATTTGTGAAAATATTTAGAACGCATACTATCAAGAATTATTTAATTATATGTTTTCATTATCTTAGATTATTTGAAAATATTAATTCCACAAAAATGTGTTATATTAAATGGAAGTAAGCATTAAATCCGAACATTTATAACAATTTAACTCATAACTCAAAGATATCCTGAGACAGTATAAAATTATTTCACCGGAACAGTGTCAATTTTATGAAATGCGCTTTGACACTATATATAATAAATTCAGAGTAATATTCCACGAGGTTATATGAAAATTTAGGTTCTATCGATACGTCAGTGAGAACACGTGCGTTTCAACCTCGCTTTTCTACTTTCATCCACGGTCTCTCCGTGTGCACTTCACTTATCCATTAGAGTTATACCGCAACAATAGTATTTTTACTGTCAGTCTGAAGAAATGGTATCCATAAAAAAATTCAGAGTTCTAACTTCTATACTGACGGAATAATAAAACAGATTATGCAGAGAAATATTCTCTATCGTTAATAGCAAAGCTTAAAAAATCATATGAAATATTAGTTACCTAAAGCATAAATCATTACGTATTTCACTTTATTCATTGACTTTTACATTGAAATTTTCAAATTTACTTCAAGAAAATATTATTCCACTTGTATACCAATTAGAAATACAAAAAGAATTACAATCAAAATTACAACGTTCATAGACAACAAAATGATTCTGTTATTCTTTATAAATTAACCAAAAAAATAAAACCAGAGATGAAATAGGAACTTAATAAAAAAAAATATATTATAGTACATAAAAGTGATCTGCAAAAATTAAATCATTAGGATAATACATTGTCATTATATAAAAATGAGGATTTTTAAGAAACGATATTTCACAATCCCTCATGTTTATAAACATTAAAATGTTTATTTAATTTCATAATTATGAATTTTCCTGTCGATTTTAAAAATAAAGATTGATTATCGTGTCTGCTCATAGCGTACTATTTCTACTTGTAAATCTATGCCTATTAGATAAACCTTTGAAATCGACTTTTTCCGAAAAAAAGCATTGTATATATACTTTGCATATTTTATTTTTTTAACATTCTGTCGTGAACATTACTTTGCAATCGAAAATGAAATATAATTTGTACCAGTTATGTGCTCCACACTGTATATATATAGTATAGTATTTACAACCGAAATTCTTTGATGGATTCTTGCAACCAGCTTATGGTCTCGTGCTTCGAGGACGAGTTAAATACTCGAAGAGAGCCGGCTTCAGAGTAAAAGATTCAACCCGAAGCCAACCCTAAGACTCTTAATCCTTATTTTGACAAGTCGGACAGGACAGGTATGATGGTCTTTGCCTTCGTTTATTTACCATCCTCGAAATCAGCTCGAAAAAAGGACAAACCAACAAGGGATCCGCTCATGCGTCACTAGTGCGTGAATTTCCAGTTTATTAGTGGTAGCATAATGTTAATCATTAAGTTTTTGCACATGAAATATCGTTTTTTTCTTTTTTTTATTAAATTTCGAACATTCATAACTCTTTATAAGCACTTCAAATTGTTTATCTTCATATACGTAATTATACTCACCTCAACTATTATTTCCTGTTTCATACTTTTTCGTTCGTTATTCAGTTCATATTTTTAGACATACAAATGAATAAATATATTACTCTATGTAAGAAATGTACATACATATTTTTTATAAAAATTTACTTATAAGGACCATAAATAAAAATACCTACATACTTTTATAATATTCAACATTTCTCCTGCTAAGAATATTACATTTCTTAAACTTTCCGTTTCTATCAGAACCAATGTTAATGTCATTTGAAAATCTACTTAAAAATGTGTACATTTTTTAGAGAATGAAAACATTTTTCCTAATTAAAATAGTAAAATGGTTGTGAACAATAATTAAACATAGATATTAATAAACATACCTCTAAATGTTGTAGCAGAAGATCCAAGATGATCAGAATTTTATTACTGGATAAAACTTCTTCAATATTAGTATCATTCCCACTAACACTGAGCTTGTACACACGGCACACAGAAATGATGCTTCTAGAATATATAAGATAGAATTTATTGAAATTTCTATCTAAGAAAATCAATTCTTATAATAGTAAAACATAATACAAAGTAAAATAAAAGTTTTTATTTAAGGGAATAATGTTAAGAGTAAAATTGAAATCTAATTTAATATTTAACTTCTTTTTAATATTTTCCTTAAGATATTTATTCAATCATAGAAACAATAAATTTTACACTTACTTATTTGGCAAATTATGAGATGCATTTTGCATTTGTAATCCCAAATTTAGCAGACTTGTCAAAACATCAAATCCATTCAAACCTCTAAATGCATTTTGGTCTAATTGACACTGGAACATTATATTAAAAAAAACATTTATTAACACATAAATATTTAATTATACAAATAATTTTATTTTCGTAAAAATTAATGACTCACTGATTTTGAAAATGCCCTTGTCATTTCTCCTAAACATCGTTCCAAGGCAGAAATAGCGACACTCGACCATGCAGTTTTCGAATGATTATTGTATAACCGATCTAATTCCTTTAAATTTCGACGGAACTTTGCTTTATTTGTTGAATCAGTCGATTGATTTACATCATTTTTATGATCATCCTCCCACTCTTTGCCACGTAAAATCATACGCTGCTTCATTTTCCTACATCGCCGTTTTATAGCTTTCTGTTTTTCTTTTGCAGCTTTCATTTCATTTGAATTGTTATTATCGATGACCGAAATCGGTAAATCACGTATTTGTGATATATTAAACCGCTGTAATTCATCTCGGGATGGTTCACGACCATCATGCGTATTTCTCACTGCTTCAACGTGCATCTTTCCTTTCAAATGACTTAACAAGTATACTTCATTCGGTATCTGTAAAGAATACAATCATTAACATAAATGAATGACATAATTAAAGTACTAATCACGTGACAGTATGTAATACAGTATACTTACAACTGTTCCACATAAAGAACATTGTTTCTGAGCAGGATATGACTTCAGGGTTGGTGGAACTTCTTCTGCTCTTAAAATCGAAGATTCAACTGCTCTTTGTCGAATCTGTTCTATATTTTCAACATGTCTCCTAGCTGATTCTTGTTGTTTATGAGCTATTTTCTTTTGCAGTTCTTCTTGGTTCGCTAATTGAGCTGCATGAAGTGCCGATAAACGTTCTTCTCGATCTCTGGCTTTTTCTCTCGCGAGTTCCTATACGTTTAATATTAATTGCTATCAATTTCGTATAACAACAAATATGTAAATGATTTGCAATGTGAATAAAGATTTATAAATTCATGATACATATATTTTTAATATATTTATAACATATTCTTACAATATAATATATATATTTCATTTAAATTGCTCATATTTATTTAAAGTATTCGTACACACTTATCGAACAAAATTTATTTATTCATACTCAACTTTTTCCGTATTAAAATGACAATAATTGAAATCTTTTGATAATAAAATATTACCTGCCGTTCTTTTTCTCTTTCTAGCTGCATTTTACCAACTCTTTCCTCACGTTCGCGACGAGCTTGCTTCATTTTCTGAATACGTAATTGCCTCTCTGCCTCTAAAGCTCGTCTGCGCTCTTCAGCTGCAGCTTCTTTGGCAGCCTTTTCTTCTTGTCGGCGTTGACGTTCTTCTTGAATCCCCTAAAAATCATATTATTATAAAAGTATCCATCATTTTTTTTATTGGAAATACAATTTTATGCCATTTACTTGTAATCTCTCTTCTTGTTCTTGACACAATGCCATGAAATCGTGTCTTTTGTTCTGTGCTTCAAGTTCGTTAATAAATGCAATTTCTTTCAATTTGGAATCTTCATCATGAGCTTTTCTCACGATTTCTAACAGATGCTGTGTTCTATTTTCTTCTGCCCTTTTTAATTTCATTTCCATTCTCAATCTCTTGTCTTCTATCAATTGAGTTTTGGCACTCTTAACATCTTTTACTTTATTTAACAGTTCACGCAGTCTCTGCGATTTTTCCATCAACAACTTTTGACGCTTATGTTGCGCACAAGCTTGTTTTACTTGATATCTTCGTAGTGTCTCAGGCAATGACCTTTTCCGTGATGGAGACGAAAGCTTTTGATGTAGTTCTAAAGCTCTACCGGGATGACGAGCTACTAGCGCACGTAATTGTGCGAGTGTATCTACACATTCAGCCCAAGACATCCCTTCTAACATATTTTCATATCTACAAACATTTATGCTAAATTCAATTTAAAACAACAGATAAAATAAAAACCTTAACCTAACACACACCTGTCTTCTAAACTGATGTCATCAGACACTGCGGTTGGAGATGTTGCTGGTTCATCTTCTATTTCAAGAACCATTTCACCATCCGTTTCATCAGTTTCTGTATCAATATCAGTTTCTGTACATTCTAATTCTAAAATTTGCCTATGCAAGGATGCTTCTTCATCAGATAACTGCTGTGATCTTTGAGAATCAGCTTCTTCTGTCTTTCTCTCCTCTTCTAAAATTATTCTTTCTCTCTCTGCTTGTGCTGCCATAAATTGCTGTATACGTTTTTCAAGTAATTCTGCATCGCTTTTAAAAATAGCTGCAATCATTGATGTAGAATTGATTTCATTCAAATTAACCGTGTTTTTGAAAACCTCTTCTACCTTATCTTTAATAGTAAGGCTTGCAGCTGACTCCCCTTTCACCTTTTCTACCTCATTACTTATATTTTTTCCTTCTTTTTCTGCAATACATTTCTTTTTCTGTTTACCATTCCCATCTGGGGTCAAGCATTTCTTTTTACTTTTTTCTGATGGACTTTCAATAGATAAGGCTGGCAATGATGTAGCAGTACTTGGTTTGTGAAATCTTGTAGACATATTTAAATTATGAGTACTTCCTCTTCTACAACGTCCTCTAACTGTTTGCCAACCATCATTTTCTTCTTTTGGTTTTACACTAACTGTTTGTTTTGTTAAGACTTCTACTGAACCATTTATATCTTTACTACTTTGATCTTTCTTTAATGAACTTTGTTCTGAAATCTAATAAAAATACACATAAATAATATAAATTGCATTTTAACTGAAAATATTTTATAATTCTATAAGTGTTAATAAAGAGGAAAATATGTATGAATACCTTATTATCGAAGGACTGAAATCGTTGTCTTACAATGACAGATGTTCCAGGTTTTATTTTATTTGAAGTTGATATATTTTTATCGCTTAATGTTGTTTTACTTCGAAAAAATTTAGGAGTTTCTGGCAGACTCGACTGTTTTGTTCTGGTAATCTTCATTTGTGATACCGTAGAATATGCTGGCTTATTAATATTGACAGTTCCTTTATTTGAATTATTACATGATACATCTGACATAGTTTTTGTAACGATTTTATTACTCACATTATCGGTCACACTAGATTGTGTTTTTAGTTTTTGAGTAACTTTATTTGGAATTTTTGTGATACTTTGTAAACTTTTATTTGTTGTTATAGCATTATTATTTTCTTTTGTCATAGTATTAGATTCTATTAATTTATTTTCAGTTGTTACATTTTCTATGCCAATAACTTTAATATTCTTTCCTATGCTTTGTTTCTTCATTTTAGCATTGATTTCGTTTTTTCCTAGTCCTATATCATTTTTAGGGCCTAAAGGTTTTACTTGCAAATTATTTTGAGCATTCAATTTATTATCCATGCCAACAGATTTAGAAAGTTCTTTTTCCATTGACGTGAAAGTAATTAATTGTATATTTTTATCATTCTGAATTACTTGTTCATTTTTTTCTACCATTACATTAGAATCTGTTATTTTAGTGGAATTATTGTGTAATGTATTTTTAACTGGTTTCGAAACACTTTTGGTATCTAGTTTACTTTTTAAATCTCGAGGTGAACTCTCATTTGATTTTTGTTCTGTTGTAACACCATTGCTTGCTTTTGCACTTATTACATGTTTTACAAAAGTTTTATTTGCTTTCATTGAAGTTAGTTTGTCCTTAATCAATGACTGGCTTGTTCCTTTATCTATTGGACTTTTACATTTTTCGCTTAAATTTGAATTATTTCTGGTAACATTAGTTTTATTATCTTTTATCAATTTGTGTACCGGCTCTGCTTTCATTTGACTTATTTTATTATCTATAGAAATAGTCTTGTTTTCTGAAATTACATGATCTACAGGGCTTCGACATATAGATTCTGTAGGGCTCATTCTTTGCAAGGGACTAGTGGATTTTGGAATCATTGTTGAATTCCACATACGGCAAGGGGATGTTTTCCTAACTTCCCATGCTAATGGAGTACGTCTCAGTGGTGGAGGAGAACTTTCATAAGCCCACTTCACTTTAAACCATTCGATCAAATTATGAAAATCTCTGGTATAGTTTTCTAAAACTAGTATCACCTCTTTACATTCTGAAATATTTTCATCTTCCTCGCATGTTTGGTAAATACCATCAACAGCTCTTTGCAGATTACCAAATAAAAATGCCCAATATCTTGCCTGTAACTCTAATATACAAAAGGTATATATTGTATGTTAAAAATCTAATAAAATTTAAGTACATATGTTCTCGAAATGATAACATTGATTTTCATTAAATATTCAACATAAAAATTTGTTTTAATAATTGTTTGTTGTTACCAACATAAGCAGTATTTATCTTATTCGTGAATTCATTTACATGTTAACATACATTTATATATACGTAAATAAAAATTTTGTATTGTAAACTATCATAATTTTGAAATATTATTCAATTAAAATATCTTTACAATCAGTTGACAAAAATATTAAACATATATTTGGTATATTTAACATATTGTATTCTCTTATAAATTTAACTTACCAGATTTTTTGTCTCGACCAGTAGAAGCAGATCTTACTCTTGTTGTTGGTTTCATTGATCTCTTAGTTGTACTTGATTGTGATACTCTTGGCACACTAGGTGGTTTCTTAGTAACCTTCTCACTATTATTTGTTCCAACTGGTACATTAAAAGCTATCAAATTTCTAGCTGCTCTACCTTCTTCTTGTATAAGTAATCGCACATCAGCCATTTTTAATAGCTTTCTACAAAATACAACAATTCAATTGCATCTTTATCTAAACTGATTTATTTAAAATATTAGACTTTAAAAGCATAACAGTACAATCTCCTCAATAATGCACTAATAATTAAAGCTTTTAACAAGTCATTGTCTTCGTACATAATATTACAAACACAAGTGTCTTAAATACGATTAATTTTTTATAAAAAATAAAGAATCAGAGAAATAATATTTATAAGTGAATAAATCATAAATCGCATATGATATTGGTACTTTAATTTTATTTTAATAAAATACAAATGCAGTATTTATGTAGTATATATTACGTATTCGAGGTTATATGAATGTTATTAAATTATTGAATACTATAAAATAAAAAACAGTAATCATTACATTAAATATATGAACAGTACCATATTAATAATATTATCTACACCAATAATTGATAAAATAATATATGAATAAATTTGTGTACACGTTCTATATTGTCAGTCCCTAAGTTTGAAATACAAACAACAATGGTAATATAGTTAAAACACAACTTACTTTTATCGTAACAGTAATTACAAAATATCAAATAACGTTTGCTTGCAAATACTTTTTAAATAGAGTAAACTTTGAACTGACATTTCAATAGCAATACAAGACATTTTATGACAAATAGCGTCTAAGTTTCGCGGCAATTTGTTGGTTGCACTGACACTGCTGCATCGAAAAATGTAACCATACTATTAAACACTACATATAGCGGTGAAAATAAATTAATCATTATATTTTACTGCAATTACTTTACAAACCATTGAATTTTAATATGAATCTTGAAAATTATTCCTTATAATAAAAGTTGTTTCCTTTTTTAATAAATTTATATAATTTATTTTATATTACCTTTTAAACTAAAAATGTTTTAAGTAGTTTAATATTTTATTTTTATTTTTTTGAACTTATATTGCGCACACTACAATTAAACTACGTAAATATGTACATATTGAATAAAGCTCATATTTTTTTTCTTGATATGCATTTTATGAAGATAAAATTTATTATAACTATGCGATTATTTATGTTTACTCATTTATAAACATTTCAAAGCTCTGAAAGGTACAATTCATATAAATAAAGAAGATATTCAATTTACGTTTTTAATGAAACAGCAATACAGTATTAAACTGGTTTAAGATGTTTCTTTTCAATTTCAGAGCGTCGTTGGTTACATAAACGACATTAAACGAAAAACTATAACCGCAATAAAATTAATCCGATTTTTACATAAGAATGTTTCCGATCATAAGCGCATATAATTAAATTGAGTTTAAAAGTCATCTAATTCCTTGTATGACGACTATAAGATGAGTTTCTTGAAGAAACTGTTAAATTGGTTTACGCAGTGAATTCACGTCCAGCGCCATCAACGCATGATAAGATGAATCGCGAGAAGCGGTTGCGAGGACTGTAACACACATCTACGTGTGGAAATTTAATTAACACTTTGTTAAAGTGTCTCTTTGGGGTTGCACCATAGATTCTAAACAGTTTTTTGAAGTCGGCTGGGAAGCCGATTATTATAAGACGGTGACGGACAGCGAAAATAGGATTAAAAATCGATTTGGAGGTTTCTAGAAGAAAAGGCCACTAGAGAGGCGGACGATCTGCCAGTCTTTGCGGGGTGACGCGGGGATATTTTCAGATAATCGTACGTATTTTACGGCTACACATAAACCAATCTTATTTTCAACCTTCTTACACAACTGAGATTCTCTGAACAGTTTAGTTTTACACAATACGTGACTTGGTGCACAAATTCATTGTTTACGCATATGTAGAAGTCTTTAAGCAGCTTTGGAGGTTGGCAGAGATATTGAAGGAGAAATATCGAATATTAAACTTATATTATTTTTTCATTCGATGCATTTAGTGTTGCTTTCTTGATTATAATAATTCGTGGGAGAATTCATATTTAAACGTTCGTTTTGTTGTGTATGGCAATATAAATTTCTTATTTCAGTAGAGCTTTACATAGCGTGACAAACTGTCAATTAACGGTGCACACATTGCCGGTCGTGTTGAAGACTTGTAGTATAAAAGTTTAGAAAATTTCATAGTGTATACTATGTTTATAAAAATAAAGTAAACCATTTTCTTATAACCTACATTTACTTTTGTTGGTCATTTATTAATTCATGCCTGTATCTGTGTGTTTCATAGTATTTTATGGTATGCTACATATTTATTAATAATACGAGTACATTAATACAATTTTATACATGTATACACATATCGTGGAGTTTATACATATACCTTTCTCATTGTTCGTACATCCTTTACATATGTAATAACTTATTCCTTATATTGTGCATAAGTTTGTAAAAATTAATAAATTGTGTTTTATGATTTGATATGTATACTTAATAAATTAGAAAATATTTAATTTCATCAGTAATCTATAACATTAGTTTAGTATTCTCTCCATTTTAATGTGGTCTATATTTGTGAGAGGTAGATATGTAATATATTCTTCCGAATAATATAATAATGCATATTTGTAGTGTAAATGTAAATTATATTTTAATATGGTATTTTTTTTTGGATAACATATATCGGTTAAAAAACAAATTAGAGAAAGCGTAGAAACTTTCTTTTAGGGGCGTTCCATCAAACATGGCTGCTTTACCACGAAGGATTATCAAAGAAACACAGAGATTAATGCAAGAACCAGTTCCTGGTATCAGTGCTGTTCCAGATGATACAAATGCTAGGTATTTTCATGTAATTGTAACTGGACCTGAAGATTCACCATTTGAAGGTGGACTTTTTAAACTTGAGTTGTTCCTACCAGAAGACTATCCAATGTCTGCTCCTAAAGTTAGATTCATTACAAAAATTTATCATCCAAATATAGACAGGTATTTACCTACATGTTTATTTTTGATTAATTTATTTTTCATGCGATAAAAAATATTATTTATACATTTTATTGCTTTAATATTATAAAATGTAAACAACACTCAGATAAAAGACAACACAATTTGGTTTACTATATTATTTTAAAAGATGAAATAAAAATTTTTATTCTTTTTGTCATATATGCTTGTGTTTGTTGTATAGATTGGGCAGGATTTGTTTGGATATTCTCAAAGAAAAGTGGAGTCCTGCTCTTCAAATTAGAACAGTTTTACTGTCGATACAAGCATTATTAAGCGCACCAAACCCAGATGATCCTTTGGCAAATGATGTTGCTGAATTATGGAAAGTAAATGAAATTGAAGCAATACGTAATGCCAAAGAGTGGACTCGGAGATATGCTATGGATAACTGATCTAAGATCATCCATGATGCAAAGTGACATTACCCCTATCTTTCCGAGTTTACTGATCACATTACCCGCACCAGCTGCGTACCCTGCACCTATGTCCACAATTTTGCTATAAAAATAATAAAAGTTTTGTAAGAGTAAACAGAATGAAACTGTATTTTCTATATTGCGGGGAATACAAAGATGTTGTTTAGATTTCTTCACTGGTTCATCAGACAGATATGTAAAGAATCTTCTAACAATAAAATACATCAATTGTGAGAAGATTTCAACTTCAGCAAAAAGGTATAATTTTAATGGATAATTAGTTTTTACTTAAAAATATACGTTTATAGTAAAAGTAAGTGAATGTAGTATCTTGCTAAAGATTCTTTTCTAATATTCAATTACAAAATGGCTTGTGCAATGAGTAATGTATGGCCCTG